ATACATTTTTTTGTTCTAATGCCTTAATTTTCTTTTGAGATTCTTCTTTAAAATCAAGTAGTGTCTGATACATATCAGCATAGAATTCAACACCGATGGTAAGTTCTTCTATTTTCTTCTCCACGCTATATTCACCACTAACTTTTTATTTACCTCAGCCAAAACGTAATCTCCAAACTCTTCACTAGGATTAAATGTGCTTTTCGTATCATCTGCGGACTGTTTAGGGCTGCTTTTATTTGTTTGGCAGTCGTCGCGGAGCATACTACTTAGGAACTTTTTATTTACACATTTTTTATGGTAAGCATTTTCACATTCTCCCTTACATCTCACTACATCCTCTTTAGCCAAAGATAGAAAAGTTTGCATTTCTTACATTGCACCATTTTCACTTATGCTTATTTAATTATTTGCGAAATTGTTATTTGGTCACTGCTAACGCACTTAAATCTATACACACAACCGTGCATTGAGCGCGCGCGCACGGTAATGCTTAATGTTTTTGTTTGTTTTAGGATAAGGCATTTACAAGCAACGAGAAAGACAACTCTGTGCTTTCTACTGAAGAGGCTGTAAATGAAACTGGATCAGTCAATCAAAAGTCATAATTTACAAACTGTCTCAGAACAAAGTCACAGTTCACAGCCTGCAGTTAAAATGTGTCGGATAGGAATCTTCCGTGATATTGGGAAGTTAAAAAAACTACAAAAATATGTCAATCGGGATATATCTAAAAAAGAAGACAGATTCGATGTGTTTAGAAAGAACGTGGCAAAGTAGTTACGAGCATTATCATTCGAGAGAAGTATGATCGCACAAGCGAGGATACAGAATATTTTGACTGAGCGTGCAATAATCTGTCCGTTTCCACTGAAATAGCATCATCTTCTGAATCAGAGGGAATACATGATCCATCCACAGTTATTCCGGTTTCTGAGACAATAGCTCAAAATTCAGATGATATTCTTTCGCAGGCCATTGCTATGACACTTGAAAATGACCAAATGTTAGATGTAACACAATAATAAATAAAATAATAAATGCATTAAATGTAATAATTTGAAATGATTACACGTACACACACACCTTCAAATAATCCAAAAGTTGATTGTAAATTGAATCAAACACTTCAGGGATGAATTTTGAAATCGTAGGCTTAGAAATTCTGTAGAAATGTGATAACAATCGCTAGCTACTTCCTGTTGCCAAAAATGACAAAGTAACCTCCAATTTTATATCGGCTGGTATGCACCCCTCATATTTGTGTCTAATCCTTGAATTGCATGTGCTACTTTTTTTAATAATAATTCAAAGTGATCCGTTATTGATACACATTCTGTATTCACTTGAATCTTCGGTTGCTAGCTTTTTTAAAAGAAGAGCAGAATTGCCAAAGTTGTCTCCGCCCAGCAACCACTGTCTTGTATACAAACTTATTTCTTTTAATGTTTCTCTTTCAAGGTCCTCTATCATTGCTGATATTATCTTAGAATTATGTTTAAGCACACCATGCAAAATCTGGTCTGGTTACTAATGCCTTTCTACTAATTCCAACGTGCAGACGGTTACTTCTTATTTGTCACTATGCAGCTTAGTACAAGCGGTTAGTTCAAATAACAAATAATAAGCCCGTATAAACCGGCCCTTAGAGTATAAGTGGTAGAGCCATGCTGCAACTATATTAGTAGTATAGTTGTAGCACGAATGAGTCGGCTCGACCGGGTAAGGACCACGCTCTCACACAATACCAGCGTTAAATAGCAGCTTAACGCTGTTGTGTTTCGTATGGTGAGTGTAGAGAACCAGAGACCCTTTTTACTGGAAAAGAGGCTTTCCATCTTAGTCTTCACGGGTGACAACGCATCTGCATTTTGATTCGCAAACAAGGATAGATGTAGATGTCTATGGGCCACAGCAACCGCTCACTATCAGCTGGACTGTGTGCTCGTTTGTCATCCTGTCCTATAAAAAAAATACCCAAACAATTGACACGCGTTGAGTGTTTCTATTATAGTTAGATTGTGCAATTGTCGGAACCTATATAACTTGTGAATTCTGAAAATGTAAATGAGCCGAATACCAACCGACTGAATCATTTGAGTAGCTTGTACTGTAGTGAAGGGTACTCACAGTGCTGCCAGATAGACTCATCCACTTTCCCCTAAACGCCCACATAAAATCCCCTAGATTTAAACAAAATCCCCTAAATCAAATGATTTTGAAATTATCAGACGTCTGTTAACTTTTCAAATTTGTTTTTTTTAAAATAAATAAATGACGCAAAAATAAATTAAAAATTTGTACGTGAAAAAAGTAAAGAAACTAAAAATACTGGAATAACTTTATATAAAAATTACTACATATTGTGTTCAATATAAAATCTATTTTATTATGATTAAAAATACATTAAATTATTGTTTTGTTAGTTTAAATATTTTTTCCAAAAAAAAAAACATTGTTTAGTTCAGGCGATAGTAAAATATATATGAGAAAATGTTGAGAATATATTAATAGATTAGAATATATTTATCTTTAATTTCAGAAGAGGACGCTGGTTAACATCTAAATAACGATTATTAGCAATTTGTTTCCTAATCATCTATAAGCATGTTTTTAATTGTCATTGCTAGTTTATTAATAATTTTTCATAGTTTCTGTTTTAAGCTTAAACGTTCTTCTTGTAATTTAAATTTACGAAATTTTGTTTTGTTTTCCTAGAAAAATTGTTTCCCCTAGATTTTCCACCAAGCCGTCCTAAATTTAGGGGGAAATCCCCCAACCTAGCAACACTGGATACTCATTCACAAACTAATGAGAAGTATTATGCCTGCTAGGTACATATAGCATGTATTCGCCAGTGTTGCCAAGTAAGGCGATTTTTAGCTATTTAGGCTAGCTCTAAAATAATCGGAGCGACCAAAATTGTGATTTTCGACTAGTTGCCAAGTAGGCGATCTCAGAAAGAAGGCGATTGTAAAAGATATTCTACGAATCTTTTATTAGTAAATAATAAAATGTAGATTTTACGACTGGCTTCTTGAGTAATTTTATTTATTCCATTGCAGTCTATTCCTACGCTTACAATCCTTATTACTTCTGATTAATAATATAATACAAGCGGATACATGAGTTTGAATTAAAGTATTTTCTTAAAATATTACTTATAAGAATGGGTGACTTTTTGAGATTGACTATTCTGCGTCAAATTTTTGGCCATTTGGACTCTATAAAAACTAAAACCGAAACATATATTTCTTTATAAAGTACAATGCATGTAAAATTAAGTTAGTGTTTAATACAAATTATGATGTAATAGTTACATAATAGCTGTTCCCGGACCTCGCCCGCTCTTTGTGTTAATATTTTTTTATTTTAGAAAAAGAATTCTAATCCTATAATTTTTAATCTGGAGGTAGCCGTGGTTAATTATGACATTGGGACGTCATACACCTCAGTCCCCCCCGTGACCATGGGTGCTGTAAAGTGCTTGAAACGTCGGGAAAGTAAAATAAGTTAATATACGCGATAAAATCCGTAAAATTAGTTTTATTTAAATGTGTAGTGTTCGCGTAAATATAAGAAATCATTATAAGAATTCTAATCCTTTTTCTAAAATAAAAGCAGCCTGTGTTATTCCTTATAACATCAGCTATCTACCAGTGCCAGCTACAAGCCGGAAAAACATACAGGCAGACAAACATTTTAAAAATTGTTTTTGTCTTTTTGTTAGAAATACCGTATATACTTTCATATGTATTTAGTAAAAGACTGTATGATAAATTTAATTTTTTTTAATTAAATGGAAGCGAAGGAAACTAAGCATACAGTCATCTCGCAAGTTTTTGAGTTATTAATCCTTTAACCGGCAACACCGTAATATTACGGATACATTTAAGTAATTGTAAATAATTTTGTGGTTTTTACCAAAACATAAAAATCAAATGGCGGTTTTAAAGGGTGAAATATAGATTCTCTGGATCGATTCAATACTGCATATCGATTTAAAAATCGTTCGATCTCAGATCGCCATCCCTAGTTGTGGTAGTAATTAAAATTATTCTCTTTGGGCATAAGTTTTTATCGTTATGCCTCCTCTACACTATTCACGAAGTACATCGAAGTTCGACGAGGCAAATAGTGTAGAGAGGTACTTCGATTCACTTTGTGCAGCCTCGCTTCGCCTCGGGCGACTTCTGTAGGTTATTTATGCCAGAATCAAAGAACTTCGCATAGTACCCCCAAGTTACACGAAGTGTCTTATCTTCGGCTTACGCCAGTAATGAATATTGTTTTTTATATCTAAATATTAAATATGTACGTTTCTAAATAATTATTTATTTAGATAACGCATTAACGTCGTACTGTTCACATAATTAGGTACTTATAGCAGCTACCTTTTAAACGTTATTTATGGTGCGGGAGACTCAAGACGATTGAGCTCTTTGCGATGTAGCACGAGTGTGTAAACACGTTCTTCGGACTGCGATCGACTTCGACGAGCATTTCGTCAAAGTTACTTCGCGAGTAGTTTAGAGGAGGCATTAAAATTCGTAGTAGCCCCTAAGTAGTCTATGTAGTAAACGTAGATCGTAGATGGAGGGGAGTTTTGGCGGGAACTTGACCGGCGCCGGTTTGCTGCTCCTATATTATTATAATACCCTCGAAATCTCCCAAGGGGTAAGAGCTGCACAATGTGACGCTAACGCTTCAACATATTGTGAAGCAGTGTATTAAGAAGGATAATTATACATTGTAATTTCAGGCTCAGAAGGACTAGAACCCAGAGCCGTAAAGCCAGTTATTAAAAAAAGTCGTAGATGGAGGATTGACTTTGAGTTTTGACGTAAGAATTCATGATTACATTTTTCACCTCCGTTAGGTCTAGGAGTAATATTGGGCTGTGTTTTTCACGCTTAGTTCCGACCCTAAACAGCTTGTCATAAAAATTTAAAACTTCAACCTGTTTATTTTATTCTACTTATAGTATTACTCTCTGTAATATGGATTCACCGCCGGAAATTAAAAGTCCTGAACTTGAAAGGCCGTCGGCGAGTTCTAATATCTTTTTTGAAATCATATACAGTCCTGTGAACTTACTTTTGATTGTGATTATCATAGTACTGGTGTACAAACTATTCAAAAGCAAGTTTAACAAAGTTGCTGTGGAGTCGCCGGAACTTCCAAAACTTCGTAAAGACATGACTGTTGCGGAATTGCGTCAGTATGATGGTACTCAAGCCGATGGTAGAGTCTTAGTAGCGGTAAATGGGTGGATATTTGATGTGACTCGTGGTCGTCGATTTTATGGTCCTGGTGAGTATACATTTTTGAAAAAGACGGAAAGCGGTACAGGTGTAAATAACAAATTTATAAGTAGTTATGTTAGACAAAATATGCTAATTAGATTGGTGGACTAGCTATGCAACTGTTTATAAATAGATTTGACACAGTGACTCAGTGTTTACCACTGACTGAGTATGTTATGCATTGCATGTTTGATGTTTGTAAGTGTAGAGTTTAAACAAATAAATTTATAATATCATTTTATAATACTAGAACAAAAAAATAATGCTTCAAGAAACAAACAGTTCCTCATGAGGACAATGATGTCAAAACATTATATAATGATCCTACTGAATATTATGTCTGCTTGTGCTACACTATAATAATTTAACTTGTCTCCTAGGCCTGGCATCTAAGGCTCTGACTTAGTTTCAGTCTTGGCTTAATTTTTTAGGAGTCTGGGCCATGACTGACAGTTAACACATGATTAGTAAATGTTATAACATGTTTAGTAAAGCTGGACAGTTTTACAGTGAAATACCACTATATTTAGAAGGTCATATTATAGACAAATTGTTATTCCTAGCTTACAACATACAACTTTAATTATTACTTTCACTATCACTATCACTACAGCTCATCACAAGTCAGTCAGTCAGTCAGTTCAGCTTACTGATATACCGAGCTATGTCAGTTACTCTTGTTCTTTGTAGATATCCTGGTTATGGATTGTATCCTGTAGACATATTTTGAGCATAGCCCTTACCATCGCATGCTGAGTGACTGAACTGTCTCATATAGCCAGTGGTGAAGGACCATGTTTCTGTTCATTAATTTATCCCTGATAATTTTTTTTACTTACTTTTTCACTTTTACTACTTAGTATTTATTATTTTCATTTTATATTTTTTTGTTGATAAGTTCGTTAGTGCATTGGTTTTACATTAATAAAACTAAATGTATTAAATTTACAACACCTAATCTAAATACCAATGTTGTTTTTAAATGGGGAAGAACAGAGCTGATTCAATATTGAATCATTGTTTTTCTTGGTATCACTCTCGATACTAAGTTTCCTGTAGGGCCCCCATATATCCAAACTAGCAAGCAGACCAAGCTCTGCAGCTTATGCTGTAAAAAAGATTAGATGTCTCACTAGTTTTGATACAGCAAGATTAGTTTATTTCAGTTATTTCTTTCCATAGCATAATGTCTTATGGGATTTTGCTATGGAGAAATGTGGCTGATTTAAAAACTATTTTTGTTTTGTAGAAGAGGGCCATAAGAGCTATTAGCAAACTAAAACCAAGTCTCTTAGAGAAACATTTAAAGAAATAAATGTATTAAGTTTGGCCTCTCAGTATATTTACGAAAATTTAATATATTCACACAACAAAAGTAGTTTTAGTAGAAACGTGATATACACTCGATTCACAAAGTAGTGATACCAGTTTCTCCACTCCACGGAGTCAATAATTCATTCTTTGGGCTATGTAAACATGTATTACAATAAAGTCCTAGAAGATATACAAGGTCTCTCTATTACCAAGTTTAAATGTTCTGTTAAATAAAACTGCTTAAAAAGGGTTATTTATTATAATATAAACAAAAGGTTGTCACTTCCAAGCTGTTTCTAATATAAATTTTGTGAATAGTTTGAACAAAAATTATTCATATACTATAAATGTTTGTTTTAATGGAATATTTTTAGGTGGTCCATATGCAGCTTTTGGGGGGAAAGATGCATCAAGAGGTTTGGCAACATTCTCTGTTACATCATCAGACAAAGAGTATGATGATCTCAGCGATCTCAACTCAATGGAAATGGAATCTGTGAAAGAATGGGAAGCACAGTTTAGAGGTAAGTAACTTAATTTTCATTTGTAATAATAGATGTTGTTGAATTATACTCTTATAAAGAAACTTGAACAAATAGACCTATGATGTAAACCGCTAAATTTATTTAAAGATTTGAGAGACTCTCCTATTTTGACCTGGTGGTCAAAGTCTCTCAAATCTTTAAATAGCACTGTAGTCATGACTACCATTATATTTGGTGTCCCACAGGGAACTGTTTTGGGCCCTACTCTATTCATTACTCTCTATTCTACATACTATATCTCCTTTGTAATATTTGTCTCCAATCATACCAATCCCTTTGGTAACATTCGCTCACTGGTAGGTAGACACTTCACTAATCAACACGCTCAACTTTGGAAAAATCTAGTAGATTGTAGACAAGCTAGGGAGGCCCTGCCTGATATAAAAAGTTGTTTAACCAAGGTTCTAATGAGGCTGAACAAGCTGCATATCAGGATTGTAACAAGTGCTATCACAGGACACGGCACCTTTAACAAACATTTATTTACCATAGGTATTACAGACAGTCCCCTGTGCAGGGCATGTGTGGGGGAGGAAGAAACGGCGGCCCACGCTGACATGTCCGGAAGTCCCTGTATACAGGGCTAAACATCTCGGCACGCCAGAATCACTCCCCAAAGTTGCTTGCAACACCAAGGACTTTTGAACGTTTTCGGGGAGATTTCGTGGCTCGAATAAATACATTATTCCTGCCCACACGCAAAATACGCGCTTAGACGTGAAGTTGCGGAAAACAGCCCGTATATTCAATTTAATTAAATTCACCAGATTATCCCTTTTTGACAGCTCATACAAAATTAACAACATTACTTTGTAATAGCTAAATAAAAATATAGCCCATATGAATAAATACATCTTAAATATATCTAGTCCAACAAGGGCAAGCGGGTGTTTAGATGTGAGGTACTTTAATTTATTTAAATTATTTCTGTCTACTGATCGTAGTGACTATGGCAACATTATATTATATACTAGCGATCCGCCCTGGCTTCGCTCGGGTGATTTCTGGATCTCGACAACAGCGCCACCTACCGGGTCCAATTGTGAATCTAAACCATCCAGGAACCCACTAAAAAGCACACAAAAATTTCATCAAAATTGTTCGAGCCGTTTTCGAGTTTTAGCGAAACTGAAGGGCAGCAATTGATTTTTTAGAAATTAGTGATAGTATTATTCATAACTAATTCTAAGATACTAATTACGTTTACTATTATAACCTGGTAATTTGTGGAAGGCCAGGTCGGACAAAAATATCGTATTTTAGACACAAATAAAGTATTATAAAAAAAATATTGTAATTGCCAGAGAAAACTTTGCCGTTAGTGTTCTCATATTTTTAAGCGATACCTACATAACATTTTTCGATAATATGAAAATGCTATTGAATTAGATTCTTGATCAGCTACATTTTTATTTGGATTCTTTATTTTTTGATTGTAAGCAAAACAGTTGAATAAAATGATAGAGGCTTGTAGTTGTGCGCGCATCATGAAAGAACTACTGGATAGATTTCAATTAGGTTCTCTAAGTTTTCTCTAAAAAAACACTTATTGCGATATCTTCATTTAATATAAAGTTATTGAAGTTTTAAGAAACAACGATTTTTATACGGAGATTTTCACACGGTCAACTGTACGTCGTTTCCTCTCGAGTTACTAACCCTTATAATTTATATATTTTAGCTACAAACGGGGCAACGAATAACATTGTTTACAAATAAATTTTGTCTTTTTGATGTTTTTACCTTCGCACACGAAAACATTATTAATATATCAAGCAACGCGGACGAAGTCGCGGGTATCAGCTAGTATTCAAATAGCTTTTTGTACAACAAATTTCGCACGCATACTTGGTGCTGGACACATGCATGTAACGGATATGGGAGCGCTTAAATACTTTCAATGTAGGAAATCTAATCTACGTCTATCCTCCTATTTCGTGATTACCGTAAAAGTCAAAAAATTACAATGCCAAGGCTTCAAAAATGAGAATAACCTTTCCAAATATCTCAAGTTTTTACATAAATGTGTATATTTTTTGCTGTTTCTATACCTATGCTTAAAAGTGCCTATTGTACAATCATCAATCCAGCTCAGAGGTCAATTAAGAAAAATCTTCCTAGCTTGGGCAGTTTCAGAATGGACTTTTTGTTATTCTCAAGTTGTAAAAAATCTTATTGCGTCATATTATATTTCATAAACTACTTTTTAAAAAATCCATTCCGTTTTTAAGTGAAGCACAAAAGTAAAGGGACAGTTATCAAACCTGTTACTACCAAAAACAAAATACTGTATTATATGTACGTCATCTGTTTGAGTTGGCTGAAGCAGACGAAAATAAGAAAAAGGCCCAACATCTGAATTATTTTTCAAATATTTTAGTTCATTTGCTCGACAGTCTACGACAGTCCTAGAACTAGTGCCGAGGCTGTAGCTCTCAAAGTTTGAAGAAATTGACATAATTATCGCAATAATGATCGCTTGTAAAGAAAAGTAATAAATCGCAGCACCCCATTCCTCAGCAACACAGTTTTTACCGCGAGTATATTTGCCTTGAAGATTTGGCGACATAGAATTTTAAAATCGGATTTCATTAACTGATATAGAAACATTAAACTAGTTCAGAAATTGTCGACGTGCCTATTTTATTCGAAGTCTAAATATTTTTATTCAAAATCGGGCTGTGTAAGCACTTTTTGAAAGTAAAGAAAGTTACGTTATCGCTTCAACAAGTCGCCGCTGCGCGATACGTAGGTGGGTAAGAAACTGCAAGAAGCACACAAGTAGACTATTTTTCTTCAAACAGTTACAATATAACCTTTAAAAGTTTACACATAAGTAAAACAGTCTAAAAAGCTTATTATGTCCACACATTCTCATCTTTTAACTAATCATCTATACAAATAAATAAAATTGAAGTGTCTGTTTGTAATGTCAAAATTACAGTTTTTTACTAAATGCATATGAAAGTAAATAAGGTACTTATAACTAAAATACTATTTTTAAATTTTTTGTCTGTCTGTCTGTCTGTTTGTTCCGTCTAATCTCCGAAGCCGCTGAACCGATTTTGACGGGACTTTCACTGGTAGATAGCTGATTTCATAAGGAGTAACTTAGGTTACTTTTATTTTAGAAAAAGAATTAGGGTTCCGCGCAAAAACATAAAAACCCTAAAACGCGAGTGAAGTCGAAGTCGATGATATGTCTAGGTCACATCGGTTAGCGAGTCCAAGTTTACCTCGGTCTCGGAGGCTGCGAAGCACAACCTACACGTCACTATAATAATCCTTTACAAGTCCCATTTCTTTCAGTATAATGCTTTTACATATTTGAGACCTTCCACATATTTGCTTTATTTCATATACCATATTATTGTATGTCTTATTCATATGGGACTTCAAGTCATAACTCTGCTATCATAATGCTTATGCATCATAGAGACCTTCTATATTAATGCTTTGGTTCGTTAGACCTTACTATGATAAGTCCCTAATATAGGACTAGACATTGTGCAAGCTTAGTACTAGCAGTCGATCAGCCGACCACCCCATATATATGTATAACCTTGGATATGCGTCTCCGGCAACGCTCCCATATAAGGGAACATTACAAGAATACGTTCATCAACTTAGAAATATTCCGATTATTACAAGAACACCTTCATCAACTTAAAAAATTTTGATCCATTTTTTCTATTATATAACAAATGTTATTTATCTTTATTATTGCAATATAATCGACTTGTATTTATATGATTTAATACATTTTGAATATTTTAAGCAGAATTTTAATAAATTTAGAGATTTTTAGAGACAATTTATGCGTTTACGAATACTATAATATTCAATATTCCAAATGAATATATTTGAACTTTATGCTTATTATTTGCATTTTAATTGTTTAAAATATAATTTCTATGATATTTTTAAATGTGTTTATAATGAATTTAATTATTATTTATTAATAATAATTATGAGGCGTCACAATAACAATGATTTTTACATGAGCTTTCAATTTATACAAAAACAAGTCAGTAACATTACAGGGAATCTTGTTGTAAATGGTTAATAGTCATACATCTACTCAAAAATGAGCCGTTTGCTTTTTAAACGTGGTAGTGCCATGTTGCACCTATATTTATTGTATAGTTGTAGCACGAATGGTTCGGCTCGACCGGGAAGGGACGACGCTTTCATAGAATACCAGCGTAAAATAGCAGCTTAATGCTGCTGTGTTTCATATGGTGAGTGTAGAGAACCTGAGACCCTTTTTACTGGAAAAGAGGCATTTCATCTTAGTCCTCATGGCTGACAAAGCATTTGCATTTTGATTCGCAAACGAGGATAGACGTAGATATCTATGGGCCACAGCTAACACTTACCATTAGGTGGACTGTGCGTTCGCTGTTCGCTTGTCACTTTTATCTCATAAATAAAAATCAAGTCTGTACTTTGGAACAAAGTTTGGATTTATTGCGCGTGTTAAGTTATTAAAATAGTTTTTTTACATAATATATGTATAATATTATCCAAAATGAATTTTAAATATAGCATAAGAATGAATAATTCAATGATTCATTTAACCAAAATGCTACTTAGTCGAAGTACTCGGGGCTTTCATTACGTGTGAGTTATCTGTCTTTCACACCAATTAACTAGGAATAATGAACGCAATTGTGTCTGCTTTGTAGTGAGGCAAACGGCCTGTGCAAATAAACTATTGCGAAAGCAATATCACACCTTATCTTAATAACACTCCCAGTAGTTTCTGAAAGATGTATGGATGGAGAAAGTGACATTAAAAGTAAATTGCGCAACATTTTTCAACACTTTTTTTTTATAATTTATATTTTAAACAAAGGTTCAATTGTCCCAAAATGTTTCACCGCGAGATAGAATCTTTAATTTTTTTATTTTTAAAATAGTTATTTATTTTAGCATATAAAATAGTTTAAATAACATAGATTTGATAGAAGATACAC